CCCACCGTGGGGAAAAGACCTTGAATATTCATCTTATCCACGCCCCTCATGGTTTTATAAATTTCTACATGGAAGAGGGAAGAAAGAAGGAAAGAGTGAGGGAAGTGTGAAAGAGAAAGAAAGGAGAGATGAAAATATTTGGGTAGAGATAGGGGAAAGAGAAAATGTGAGGGAGGGGAAAGAGAGAGAGAGCAAAGACAAAGGGAGGAGAAGAATGAGAGTGAGAAAGAGCAAAGGAGAAGAAAAGAAAGAGAGGAAAGAGGAAACAAGAAAGATGGAGAAGAAAAACAGCAAGAAATATAAATGCAATGAAAGAAGAGAGAATGCAATTAAAAAATTTAAGAGAATGATAAAGAGAAAAGGGGATGTAAGCAACAACTGGATGAAAAAAGGTGAAAGTTGAGGAAATGTGGAAATGGACCAGGAAAATTAGGAGAATCTGAGAAAAGAGGTTGTGTGGGTGGTATAGGGCTGGAGATTCTGGATTCAGGATTTATGAACATTGGAATATCACATTCCTGTCCTGGGAATGGGGAAAGGATATGTTGGTTGATGGCGCCATCTCGTGTTCAAACAAGAGAGTGCGGTATATACTGCACTGGGTAAAATCTCCAGCGTGTGCAGCGACAAGGAGATCAAGCCTCTCCATATCACAGAAATGTAACCAGCTGGATTTGAGCTGTCTCTGCCATTGGTCAGTGAGGATCATGCTAGCATTGGCATCAGAATGTGTGGGTTCACTCCAGAGGCCTGAACCGACACAATCTACCTAAAAAAACCCCGAGAGTAAGACTGAGGGAGTGCCACACTGTCAGAGGGTCAGTCCTGAGGGAATGCTGCACTGTCAGAGGGTCAGTGCTGAGGGAGTGCCGCACTGTCGGAGGGTTAGTACTGAGGGAGTGCCGCACTGTCAGAGGGTCAGTACTGAGGGAGCGCTGCACTGTCAGAGGGTCAGTACTGAGGGAGTGCCGCACTATCAGAGGGTCAGTACTGAGGGAGTGCCGCACTGCCAGAGGGTCAGTACTGAGGGAGCGCTGCACTGTCAGAGGGTTAGAACTGAGGGAGTGCCGCACTGTCAGAGGGTCAGTGCTGAGGGAGAGTTGCATTTTCAGAGGATCTGTGTTATACAATTGTGGATGTCATCCTGAGGGGCCACAGCCTGTGAGTCAGTGCTGAAAGAGCACCAGAGTATCTGAAGCTCCATAATGAGGGATTGCCACACTTTTAGAGGGTCACTGCTGTGGTTGTGCTGCACTGTTGGAACAGCAGTACTGAAGGAGTCTTAGCTATGTAAAATAGATTTCCCTCATGTCATCTTTACTTCCTTTGCCGTTCACTTCGAATTGATGTTGCCTGGTTTTGACCCTTCTCCAATGGGGAATTTCTCTGGTGCTGAACACATCTTTCAGATTTCTTGTCAGCCTTCTCCAAGGTGGACGGTCCCAGTTTACGCTCATCATTGAAGTCCTTTATTCAGAAAGCCCTCTCGGAAATATAGTTTGCATTTTCTCCAATATCTTCACATACCTAAAGTGTGAAGAACCAGAAAATGAGGCCAGACCAGTTTATTGTAAGATCCTTGCCTTTCTCTTCAGAAATTTCCAAATCCTGCATGTTACCTGCTTTCCCATCCATTCCTGCCACCTTGAATGGTTTGTGCCCACCTACCCTCAGTCCTTTTGCTTCCACCCCTTTAGAATTAGTATTTTTTTAAGCCATTCACAGAATTGGCCATTGCTGGATAAGCCAGCATTTATTGCCAGTCCCTAGTTGCAACCAATGGCAGTTCAGAGTCCATCACATTGCTGTGAGACAGGAGTCACATGTAGTCCCCTAACAGTGGGGGTAAGGTGTTCTGAAGAAGCATCATTGGATCCGAAACATTAACTCTGATTTCTCTCCACAGATGCTGCCAGACCTTCTGAGTTTTCCCAGCGATTCCTGGGGTTTTTTCCTGTATAAGGATGACAGATTTCCTTCCCTGAAGGACCTTTATGATGGATTTTTACAGCAATCGACAGTGGTCAATATTAGACTTTTAATTCCAAATTTTTCTTTCAACTGACTTCAAATTCCACCATCTGCCAATTTGAAACCAGGTCACTGGAACATTACCTGGATCTCTGAATTAATAGTCCATTGATAATATCACTAGGCAATTGTCTCCCCTTATTATGTGTAAATGATTTTGAATGCCTGTCTTTCTTGTTCTAAAAGACATGATTTCCCATTTGTGTGCCTTAAAATGTCTCTGCCCGTTCCATCTGCTGTACCCGCTAAAGTTTAAACTAATTGTTCGTACAGTGTTAGCAATTCCTGTCATCCACAGTTTGGAAATTCTGCCCTTCACTCCCAAGCCTCAGTTGTTATTATATCATTGAGTAAATCAGTGGCCCTTGTTGCGAAATGTTCAGGGGAATTGCGGGTGGCTATTGACACTTGAGCAGTTTGTGGGGCAGATACGACGTTGCAAGTTTGTATGCAGGTTTCAAATCCCAATGAGATAAATTGTCCCCTGTTTTGGTGAGTAGAATGACCTATTGCAGCTAGGACACAAAGTTCTAGGAAAGAATGTCAGTAAACATTAGTCCACAGGCTTTCTGGCTCATATCTGAGTGACCTGCACACATGACCCCAGGAATTTTATCAAAGAGTTTGGAAAGTGCCACAATGACAGGTGAGCTGTTTTACAACCGAGATGTTAAACCAAAGCCCCAGCTTCCTTCTCAAAAGGCCATCAAAGCCCCAATGGCTTCAAGGCTGAGAGAGACATTTTTAATCAGGAAGGGAGTCAAAGATTATGGGGTACAGCGAGAAAGCAGTGTTAAGGATTAAAAGATTAGCCATGATCTCATTGAAGCAGACTTGATGGGCTGAATGACCTACTTTGAGTCATGGAGATGTACAGCACAGAAACAGACACTTCGGTCCAACTTGTCCACGCCAACCAGATATCCTAAATTAATCTAGTCCCATTTGCCAGAATTTGGCCCATATCCTTCTAAACCCTTCCTATTCATATACCCATCCAGATGCTTTTTAAATGTTGTAATTTTACCAGCCTCCACCATTTCCTCTGGCAGCTCAATCCATACACGCACTGCCCTCTTGTGAGAAAAAGTTGCCCCTTAGGTCCCTTTTAAATCTTTCCCCTCTCACCTTAAATCTATGTCGTCTAGTTTTTTAGTCCCCTACCCTGGGGAAAAGACCCTATCCTTACCCTTCATGACTTTATAAACCTCTGGAAGGTCACCCCCTCAGCCTCCAATGATCCAGAGAAAATAACCCCATCTTATTCTGCCTCTCCCTGTAGCTCAAACCCTTCAACCCTGGCAACATCCTTTGTAAATCTTTTCTGAACCCTTTCAAGTCTAACAACATCCTTTCTATTGCAGAGAGACTGGAATTGCATGTAGTATCCAGTAGTGGCCTAATTAATGACCTGTACAGCGACAACATGATCTCCCAACTCCTATACTCAATGCACCGACCAATGAAGGCAAGTATATCAAATACCTTCTTCACCTCCCTGTCTACCTGTGACTCCTCTTTCAAGGAACTATTTGCTCCAAGGTCTTATGGTCTTATATTAAAGAAATCTGGACAAACTACCTCCTAGGTTCCAATTTCTCCACTGATAACAGTGAAGCAGATTATCAGGTTGCTTGTGGGAGCTTGCTGTACTCACATTGCTTGCTGAGTTTCCTCACATTGCTCAGTTGTGTGTCAGCTGCAAAGTGCTTTGGGTGTTCTTGATACAACACAGAGTGGAGCTGGAGGAGCACAGCAGGCCAGGGAGCATCAACCATCAGAGAGAAGGGTCCAGACCCGAAACGTCAGCTTTCCTGCTCCTCTGATGCTGCCTGGCCTGCTGTGTTCATCCAGCTGTACACCTTGTTATATCAGATTCTCCAGCATCAGCAGTTCTTGCTATCTTTGGGTGTTCTTGACCTTGTGAACAGTGCTATAGAAATGCCAGTTCTTTCTTACTCCATTGGGTTCCCTGCTCACTAAACCATCATTCTACAGTCTACTACTATCTGTGAACTGCCAACATGTGCACCGCCAAGGAAGCCCTGCCCAGTCACAGAGAGAGAATGGGAACTGAGAGAAAGAGAGGGGAGAACAGAGAGAGATAGAGACTGGGATCAGAGAGAGAGATAGAGAGAGGGACTCTGGGTCACAGAGAACAGACTGAGGGCAGAGAGAGAAAGAGAGGGAGACATTGAGGGACAGCGTGAGAGAAAGAGTCTGGGTGCAGAGAGAGAGAGGCAGGGAGAGACATAGTGGGGGCATGTAAGAGAGAAATGTGAGGCACAGAGAGACAGACTGAGGACAGACAAACG